GGGAGAGAGGGTAGGGGCCATGGGCACAGAGTTGGGAACTGAGGCCAGAGGAGTAAATGGAGTCACCAGGGAGAGGGTGAGGAAGGAGAAGACGCCTGCACTTGTGAGAGCGGGGAGGGGCACAGCCCTCTAAGGAGATAAAGGGCCTCCAAAGCCATTGGCTGCAGAACATTCTGTGGAACCGCTGCTCCCCAGGAAACGTTCCCTGCATGAAGGGCATCTGTGCTGTTTGCTGAGTGTACACACATAGGAACAGGGCTCTGGGAGAGAAGGTGGTGGGGTGAGGGGGCCCTAGGGCTGCTTCCTACAGCTGGAAAAGAATCTCATGGGGACACTGGAGGAGACTTTAAAAGTGGAGCAGAGGGGGCTGGCCCCGTGGCCGAGTGGTTAAGTTCGCGCGCTCCGCTGCAGGCGGCCCAGTGTTTCGTCGGTTCGAATCCTGGGCGCGGACATGGCACTGCTCGTCAGACCACGCTGAGGCAGCGTCCCACATGCCACAACTAGAGGAACCCACAACGAAGAATACACAACTATGTACCGGGGGGCTTTGGGGAGAAAAAGGAAAAAATAAAATCTTAAAAAAAAAAAAAAAAAAAGAGTTTAAAATAAAAAAAAAAAAAAAAAAAAAAAAAAGTGGAGCAGAAAGACTCTCCCTACAGTGCTCAGAGTACATATTTGACAGTAACTATTACAGTTCTAAAAGAGTCTATCCTCAGACCCAGCAACTCCATCTGTGGGAGTTTATTCAAAGAAGATAATCTAACAAGAGATCTGAGATGGGTCACAAAGATGTTCATTGTGGTATTATCCATCAAAGGGAAAAATAGAAATAACGTAAATGTCCAACAATAGGGGATGGTTAAAAATATTATGTGACATTCACCTCATGGTCTATCATATACTCATTAAAATGATGTCCACAATAATAATTAAGTGAAAAATACACACACATAGAATTGTACACATATATACACACATATATAATTTTGTTTTACAAAGAGTCTGTATTACTTTGGGAAAAAATTAAAATAAAAAATAAAGATATTTCCATTTTGAAAAACTGCAGTCTGTCTGGAGAAGGAGAGAAGAGCAGCTAGTCTGAAGCATGCCCCACCTTGCTGGGTGACCATGGCAGGCATGTTACCCTCTCTGAAGCTCAGTATCTTGAGTAGGGAAGAGGCAGCAGGGGCCCGGGATGGAGAAGAAGCTGGGAAGTGTGGGCTGCCCAGTTGAAGGTGCAGATGGCAGAGGTTGGCCCTCGATCCAGGAGCACTGGGGCAATGACATGCATGGATCCAGAAGCTGCCTTACTCGGAGCCCCTCTGGAGCAGGGTGCTGGAGTAAAGATGGGGAGGACCACCCAGAGGGGCATTTCAGTGGGACCCCAACTTGCTGACTTGCAGGACCACCTCCAAAACTGCCAGCCCTGGCATCTTGCTCCTACTGCCCCCTTGACTGGGGAGCAGTGGCCTGCTGGGTCCCACGCCTGGCAGTTGACTGAGAAGAGGGCAATGTTCTTTGATGATTCAGAAAGCATTTTTCAATCTTGCAGGGTCACCTAGCTCTACTGTTTCAAAGGGCAACCATACCTGCGACCTCAACAGACCCTCCCAGTGTCACCTACTAGTCCATGTGACACGTGGGGGAACAGAGGCTCAGAAACTTTTGGAGGGGCTAAATGGCAAAGTCAGAACTGGGAGCAGACCCATAGCTCTTCCTGCTATACTGCCTTGTCCAGGCAAAATCACCACCCCTCCTGATGGCCGATTTGAGTCACCTCAAAGCAGAGAGGCGAAACAGAAGTCAGTCACTTCATTAGCTCCAAAATTACTGGGAACCCCGGAGATGAGCATGTAAGACTTGGCAATATCATTCTCTGTACCTTCTAGCATGACTGAAATGTTTTTTAAAGGAATGTCATGCACTTGTTTGCATAAAAATATGTAACAACATACAGTCAGGCGCCACATAATGATGTTTCAGTCAATGACAGACCACATATATGTCAGTGGTCCCATAAGATTAGTACGACACAGCCTAGGTGTGTAGTGGGCTATACCATCTGGGTTTGTGCAAGTAATGTATGTAGGGGAGGAAGAAATTCTCCTCTGCCCTTCTAGGTTCTTCTGGCTGGCCTAAGAATTAAACTGACATGAGACAGACTAACAGGAGAAAACCAAACAAAAGTTTGAAAACAAGTATACACGGGAGAAACCCAGTAAAACCAAGTAACTCACCAAAATGGCCAAAGTCCTCACCTTAAATACCATCCTCAGCTAAAGACAAAAGCAGATGCCTGGGGAGGCAGAATCAGGGACCTCAAAGGGAAGGAAGACAATTCACAGGCGAAAAGGAGCAAACGACTGGAAAACAAGTGTTTGGCGACACAGAAACAGAACACCAAGGGAAGCCCAACAAACAGGCTTTTCGAGGATCCTCCCTGTCCACTGCCCAACTTGTGTTATGCTAAGGTGAGAGCTCGCTTCCTGAGATGGGTTTTTTGTCTGAATTCTTTTAGGCAGTTAAAGGGGAAGTGACAAGAAAAATTTTGAGTCTTTTGTTTCCTAAAAATCATCAGCCTAAACTAATCCTCATGTTAAAGAGACACATTTTGGGGTGGCAAATTTTGTTCCCTTTCAGTACACTCTATGATGTTCATACAACGATGAAATTACCCAACAGTGCATTTCTCAGGACGCATCCCTGTTAAGTGACCCATGACTGTAACGTTTTTAAAAAGGCGCAGAGCACTTGCTGTGCACTATGCCCCGGATCCGCTCACCCACCTCTCCATTCCTGGAGAGACTGAGAAGCTCTGGCTATAAATCCCAGCTCCACTACTCCCCAGCTGGGCAGCCTTGGGCAATGACTTCCCCTCTCTGAGCCTCAGTTTCCAAAAAAATGGGGATATTTGCCCTCCCATGGGTTTTCTGTGAGGATCAAATGGGATGAGGCATGCAATGCCCTCTGCACACACCTCTGATTATTATCACGACCCTTCTAGACACACCTGGCAAGAGAAGCTGGACACACCAGGGCAGACTCCTGAAAGGCCACCCTCCCCATCCAAGCACCCATATGTCCCATGCTCCAGACCCAAGTTCCCTAACCCCCAGATTTCACATCTGAGGACACTGAGGCACAGATAGGGAAGGACTTGCTAAGGTCCCCTGACAAGTCAGGGCACTGCTGGGACAAGGTCTGGGAGTGCTCAAGCCACACCTCAACTCTGCCCTGGAACCGGCAGGAGGAAAGAAGGACTCCACTTCCTCCCAACCATCACTCCTCACCTGGCAGTTCCCCCGGCCCCCAGCCCACCAACACCCCCCCCCCCCCAAACACCTCGGCTCCATCCTGCCCTCCGGTCTGGAGCAGGACCGAGCTCCTAAAAGGGGTTGTCCACATTCCTCACCAGCCAAAGCGAAGCCAGAAGCCCTTCACAAGCCTGCTGCTATGTCTGGAATTCCTCCACCTGTGCATCAGTCTCCCAGGTTAATCATTACCTCTTTCACTGGGATGGCACGCTCAGTCCCCGAGAGCCTGAATGGAGGGACCACAGGGAACACACTCCCCCCTTAGTGGGTGACAGGAGAGCCTTGGACCCATGCCCGTGGGACAAAGGGCTGTGCGGGAAGCTGCTGGGCTTCTCTGTCCACAGGGAGCTTCCTTCAGGCAGGGTTCTGCCTGAGAGAGAAGCAGGGAACGAAGCAGCCCAAGGTGGCAGCTGGGAACAGGGCTCCGTTGTCTCTGCTCCCAGGGTAGCAGCCTGCCCACCCTTCGAGTGTCAGGAAGAGCTGGGAGCCAAGGAGGCAAGGGGGGAGGGGTCCTGAGCAGGGGGTTTGGGGCAGCCTAAGCAGACCTAAGAGGCTAGGACCCCAGAAGGTCAGAGAGGTCTTGGGTAGGGCTGGGGTCCTGAAATGAGGGCCAAGGCAAGACTTCCAGGATTTGAGGTCAACTCAGTCACCTTTGAACTATGTGACCTTGGGCAAGTCACTTAATCTCCCTGGGCCTCAGTTTCCCCCTCCTGATAATGGTGATAATAGCAAGGTCCCCTTCAAAGCACAAGGTACAGTGCAGCAGCAGAGGGGCTGTTCTGGCTCAGGTCTGCCCACAGCCTCACCCTCTCTGGGCCTCAGGTCACCACCTCGCTAAAAGAAGAGGTTGGATTCTCCCAACTGGACTTCCTCCCGAGGATTTCCATGGCATCTGTCATCTTGGCAACCCAGATGATCGGGTGTCAGGCCTGCGCTCTCTCTCCCCCCCTCCCTCCCTCCCACTGGTGTGAGTTACAGCAGCCAGATGTGCGCCCATCACCTCTCCTGCTCTAGGCAGGTGGGGAGGGGGTCCCCACTGGGAAGGGGCCACAGTCTTGCTCTGAGCTCTTTGGCACCAAGGGGGCAGACCAGGCTGGACTCCCTTCCCGCGCACTGGTCCAGGAAACAGGGGAACTGCTGAGTTTCCTGCAGGACCCCTCCTGGATACCAGGGTTTGTCCCACTCCCACAAGCCTCTCCTTGGTGGCCTTGCCCCCTCTGTGGCACAGGACGGGGCCTTCCTCAAGCAGAGAGGACCATCCCTCACCCTGGCCCCTGCCCCTGCTCTGACCTCCGTGTTCTGGGGAGGGCTGGTGGGAAGAGGGGCGATCCCTGCCCCTCCTCGCCAAAGGCTCAGGCCTTGTGTCCAAGATTAATCATTAATGGGCTCCCAGCTCCAGCCTGGCTCCAGCCCCACCCGCCCCATGGTCAGGGAATGGGAAAACCCTGGAAACAGGGGCCATGGGAAGAAACCAAGGGCAGGGAGAGCATCAACCTGCCCACCCTCTGGCGGCTGCAAGGAACACGAGGACCCTGGGAGCAGCAGCGTAACTCTCCCCTGCCTCTAGGTCTGAGTCTGACGCCCACAGTCTCAGTTTGGAGGTTGGGGTGAGGAAAGCCGGGCCCCGAGGGGGTAGACTGAGGCAGGGAGCAAGCTGGTGGTGGGTGCGGGGCCCCCAGGACATACCTTGTCCCCGTCCTTCTCGGGTTTAGCGTGCTGGCTCGGCCCGGGCCGCGCCGCCCGGGCGCTTACTAGGCGGCGGGACGTACCCGCCGGGCCTGGACCATGCCTCCGCCCCCGCCGCCGCCGCCGCACCCGCTCGGACCAGGTGCGGCCGCCAGCCTGGCCCGGCCCCCGGCGCCGCGGCCAATGGGCGCCTCGGGCCCCGGCCCCCTCCCGGCCCCTAGGCGCCCGCCCAGGACGCACAGAAGCCGCATTCAGCGCGCCGGGGCGCATCGCCGCGCCCCCGCCGCCGTCCCAACAAGGCGCGTTTGTCCCCGACGCGCCAACAGGGCCATTGTCCCGCCACCGGAGTCGGAGGCTCGGCCGAGCTCCCAGCCCGGGAGGGGATTCGAGGGTGCCTGGGAAACGAGGTGGCGTGGTGGTGGTGGTGAGGGCAGTTCAGCTCTGGGAAATGGGAGGCGGCTAGACTAGTTGCTGAACTTTTATTGGGCCTTCTGGGGCCCTGGGGATCCAATGGAAGCTATGGCCTCTTGCTCCAGAATCAGTGCAAGCTGGACACGCATTTTGGGCATCTGAAATGTTGATGAGAGGGGTGGGGTGTGGTGCCGGAATCCTGAGAGAAGCTAAAGCAAGGGACAGATCTCCAACTGGTCTCACCACTTGAGGGTCTCAGCGGCGCAGGGCTGAGCACAGCACCATCAGCAGGTGCCCCATGAGGATCCACCTTTTTCCAGTCTGGTGTTTCCCTCCAGAGGAAACTGGTTCTTCCCAGAGGTGCAGGACGAATGACAAGGACTGCCACCCGCCTGGAGCCGGGAATGCTCAGCTCCAGCTGTGGGCAGTGCAAAACAAACTGGCCACCCAGTGGGGCATGGGCCATAGCAGAGCCCCACTGCCCCTACCATTGCGGGGTGACTCTGGAATGGGGAAAATTCCACACCAGCATGGCTGCCAGGGACTTTTCCGAATCTCATGGGCCTCCTCTCCAGCCTTGCCCTGGCATCCCTGCCACAGCCCTGGGATTCACATGCACCCAGGCAGGTCCAAGTCATCCCGTAGGGTGGCAGGCTTTGGCTCCGGAAGCCCAGCCCTGTCCCTGCTTCTGGAAGCATCCCTGCAATGCCTGAGCGTGCCAGAGTAGAGCACAGCCCTCCTACACCCGCAGCAAGGCCCAGCCGAGACAGGGGCCCCGGGTTCTCTGCTCCCTCGGCCAGAGCCTCCCCAAGCTCTTGCCTTCCCCTCAGCAGGTTGGGCCCGCAACCACTGCCCAAAACACCTCTACAGAGCCTGGGTGCAGTGAGGGCCAAGGCCCTCAGGTGCCTAGATTTGAGAAGGGTAGAGCCCAGGTCTAAACCCACACTTCCCCACCCTGGCCCCTGCTCCTGACAGCATCAGCCCGCCGTGGCAGCCTGGGGAGTCTATTCAGAACTCCCTGCCTGACCTGGGAGGGGCTGAGTGACCACCCTAAGACCCTGATTCTGGCCCTGGCTCTGCCACGAGGCACTAGCAGTCCCGGGCAAGGGCATGTCCCCCTGGGCCTCAGCAATGGGACTGCCAAGGTCGGTAGGAAGCTATAAGGATGGCTGAGTAAGGGTCACAAGTTGGGCTGCTGCCAATGTCCACACTGGGGGTTACTCAGTGGTTCTGCTCATGAGCCCACAAGGTAAAGCTGACCCCGAAGAGCCTTCAGGCACTAGCTTTCACCTCCTGGCTGACTCCAGCAGGAAGTGATGACAATCACAGCTGCTGTCTGCTTACTTACTAGACACCTGACACCAGAGTCTGCACATCATCATCACTGGACCCTCCACACAGCCCTGGGAGGGAGGCTCCAGAACGTCTACCCCTAATTTACACATAAGGAGGCAGTTTGAGAGGAAAGGACCCAGGCTGGAATGTGAACCAAGCTCAGACCAACTTCAGAGCTCGGACTGACAATCTCTGCACCTACCTTCTGGCATCCTTGGACCCAAAGGGGTGCTTGGATATCCAGAGCTCTGAGCAATGAGTGGACCCTTCTCCGTAAACACCCAGGGCAGGCCCAGCCTGGAGCACAGGGCACGAGGTGGCCCTTCAACCCGAGCAAGGCTCATGAACACAGAATTCAATTGGCTGCAAAACTCCAGCCGTTTAATAGCAAATGCTTCCCCATCCTCACCCCATCACGGCACTGGGAAAATCAGGGGTCCAACTACGTGTGAATGAGTATGTTGGGGGGCTGCGGAAAGCCAGGGTGAATGGGAGCAGTCGACAAGGGGCTGGTCAGAGAGGCCTCTCCTCCGCCCAGCCACCAGCAGGGACCTCCATGGAAGGGAAGCTGGGGCTGCCCAAGGGCCCAGCCAGAGTGTGAGAGGAGGCCAGGGCCAGCAGGAGGAGGAGGGGCATGGAAACAGAAGAGAGACTTGTCTGTCACCAGGCCTAGGTCCTCCGGCCTGCCCATGCCAAGTCCAGCGCCAGGAGCCGGCCTTGCCCATCAGGAGGCTGCCGTCACTCACACCGGCCTTGCCTTCTTGGCCTTCTTCTTCTCAGACTTCACAGCCTCATCGTGGGCTTTCCGCTTCTCTGCCAGTTTGTTGGCCTGTGAGGAGGAAGCGGGGAGGATAAAGCTGTGATGGGGGGGAGGGCAGGGAAGGCCACTTCCCCTTCTTCTCCTCAAGGCCACCCCTCAAAAGCAGAGCCTCCAGAAAAGCTAACAGACCAATTACCATGAGTCCAAACAAATCTATTTGAATAACCTCAGGTGAGCGCACATACCCTCACCTTTGCCTTTATGACTATTATTTTATGGGTTCTCAGCATGTTACGAGGATCCCAGAGCTGGAGGCAACTGCCCCATTTACTGCCTTCACTTGGGAAAGCTGGGCACCATCCAAACCTGCACCAGGAGCTGCTGGCGAGGGATCAACCTGGTACAGTCTTTCCCCTGGGACCATTTGGCAACATCTATTATAAAACAGGTGGGCCTTTCAACCTGGTGATTATACTCCTCCAACTTTACCCTGCAGAGACACTCGGAGAGAGGTGGGGACAAGCCCAAGATTGTTCTCTAAGAATGACTAAAAATGGAAAACAGTTGAAGCCTGTCAGCAGGGAACAGGCTACGTTTCGTACGATGTCATGGAGAGAAATTCAGGCTGTGATTAAATGGCAAACACACTGCAATACAACCTATATGTAGCATGATGCCCCTAAACCACGTCTGTTATTATACGCAGAAGAAAACCTGGGGGTTACTACAGACCATCCCAAGGGCAGGGCTGTGCGCCACTTCCACGCCATCCGTTAGAGTTCACGTGTACACAAAACTTTTTTAAAAATTTTCTTTATAATGGGCATATGTGGCTTTGTAAACATGAGGAAACAAAAGAGGGAGAAGCTTAACCAAAACCTTACGCAGCCCCTCTGCTTTATGCACTTCTGCTGAGTGGTCCTTTGTAATGCAGGCCCAGAGTCCGCTGGGACAGCTCTGTTCCCAGACCCTGGCAGACTCGGAAACAGTGGGTGTAGGAAGGAGACTGAAACCCTGAAGAAAGCCCAGGCGAGAGCTGCTCACAGCAAGATGCACACACGGGCCTGGGAGGGGGCCCCAGTGGCTGGGCTGGGTCAGGCCAGCAACCTCAGAAAAAGGCTAGGCGAGAGCCGGGAGTCAGCCCAGAGGAAAGCCAGCCTCAAAGTTCACTGGGCGGTCACCTGTGGAGTGTCAGACAGGTGGCCGGGACTCACCTCGCGGATTTTGCGCCTCTTGCCAAACATGATCTTGTTGTAAAGGTACTTCTCCCGCTTTTTCATCATCATGATGGCCAGGCGCTTGGCCTCGCTCTCCTCCTCCTGGGCCAGCCGCTGCTTATCCTCCAGCTTCACGGTGCCTGCCATCACCCTGGGCTTCTGGGGACACAGGGTAGACACCTGTGGATACAGGTTCCTCCCCTGACCAAACCCCTTGGCTCCTGCCCTTCTGAGCCAGGGCTACACCAAGGTGGCCAGTGGGGTTGCTCCCCTGGTACCTTCCCCTCCATCCTCTGCTCCTCCAGGGCTGTCAGTTGGGCCTCTTCCTCCTTTTCCGAACCAGCCTCCACATCTTCCTCCTCCTCCTCCTCCTCCTCATTTTCTCCCCCTTCATCACCATCACCTTCGTTGTCTTCCTCCTCGTTGTCTTCCTCCTCATCCTCCTCTTCAGATTCATTCATACTTCCTATAAACAGCCAATGACTTCTGAATGCCCGGGGAGCCTGCCCTTCCCCTTGCAGGGTGAGAACTGGCACTACCCTCTTTGGCCATGGGGACATTCCAAAGGCAGTGCAGGCCTGTCCCAACTGTGGCCCCTCTGGCCCCTCTCCCCACAGCTCCAGCTGCCTTCAGGGGAAATGCCAGGCCCTCCACCCGAGCTCTGTGCCTCCTATGCAAACATCAACGACAACTTCCAGACCTTTCTTCTGCTCAGCTACTCTGAACATCAAGCAAAACCTGACTGTGGAGCACAAACGTCCCCTTTCCTAAGCCTTACTCCAAAGAGGAGTTAAAGGGCTTTGGCTCCCTGATGCCTGTTCTCTGGAGCTGCCGCCTTTGTGGCCAAGAAGGGAAACAGCCGGCCTGCCCACCCACCGCCTGGCCCGCCCCTCCCGCTCACCTGGGTGCTCTCCCCGCTGCAGGGCCAGCAGCTTCAGCTTCTCAGGGGGGACGTAATCTCCTTCCTTCTCCGACACGAAGGGTGAGAGGTGCGGGGGTAGCTGCACCCCGGGGAAGTAGTCCGCCACAGGGAGGAGGAGCCGGGCGTTCACAGAGTCAAACACCCACTGGGGCTGCACGTAGTACCTGGCGCAGGGTGGCAGCAGAGACAGGTCACAGGGACCACTCGAGGCCTACCTGCATCCGCAGGGGCCTTTAGACAGACCTCTGCACCCAGAAACCCAAACAGGCGGAGGAAGATGAGGCCTTGGGGGCCTACCTGCCGATGACAGGGGTCTGCTGCCCAGGCCGGTCGACAATTTGGTGGGTGATGCAGGGGTCAGTCACGTCATACGTGGCCCCGATGCACAAAGACTTGTCCCAGGACACGTCCCCCCCAAAACTCCTACAAGCACAGGGGGAGCACATGAAAGAACTCAGACGCGAGGTGCCCGCCCTGGGATCCACTGGTCCACAAACTTGC